CCGCATAAAGGCTCTATAGATAAATGCATAAAGGTTTCAAATAGCTCAAAACACACAGACTCGGCAAAGAAACTTTAACTTAGCAAGTAGGGCCTGACAGTCAAGGTCCCTTTGTTCCTTCATCTCCTCCGAAGTGCAATCTAACCTCGAGATTTCAAGTGCTTGCATAATCGTTCGAAATGAAAGACCCAACCGAGGAGTTGTCGAAAGCGATCCGACAAAGTCACCGGTGGCCTGTCGATCAAACGGCAAGGCAGTTTGGAAGAGCAGAGGGTTTGAAACCGTTCGCATCCAAATTTGTTCAGTTTGATCAACCAAAGCTGGACATTTACATAGAGATCTAACCTCAGTGTTCAGGATTGTGTTTATGTCAAATGAAACTAGTCAACTTCCCAGGATATCAAAACCTCTGGGCTGATTGCGGGATGAACCAACTATCGTGTCTTGTGGATGGAAGGCCTCTTCCCTGACTTGCGAACTTACAGCAGTTTGCAACTGTCATCAAACGAAACATCAAAAACGCTCCTTGCATCCTGGCACCAAAACAGGCAAGATCTGGTAAAGGAAAGCTTTGGCGAAAGTATTGATAAATACTGAAAAGAATGAACACATCTGGCAAACCCAGCCTCTTCCACTCCGCACAGAGATAGTTTGAATGTGCCCCCCAAGATGCCTGGCCCACTCTGCGGTGCCTCTAAACCCAAAGTTTCTGCCACATGGAGCAGCCACTACAATCCGGCGTCGCCTATGATCTTTACCAAGCATTGCTCACTCCTGGCGACCACGAAAGCAGCGCCTTAAAACATGGCCTAACCCATTGCAATGAACTGAGGCTCCTTAAACCCTGAACCTCACTCGGATGTGCCCAACCTTCTTTTGTTCCTGTCAAAAGAAATGTACCAACTTCGGATTGAGTGTCTCGAAGTTTTTGGTCACGCCACTCTATAGAGAAGTCGCGCCTTCTGCAGTCTGGAAAGATATCACTGCACCGTATTCAAGGAGCCGCAGCACCTCCCAATCCAAACCACCAGTATCCCAGGAGTATTCCAGAAACGGCATATTGTGCAAGGGCCAGTCCACTGTATTCCCACCAGTTCTTCTGCACAAATAACAGTCTCCAGGGCCTTGCCCTTGCAGACGCAACCAAGCAAATGGATTGCCTTGCGGATCCAATCAGCCAAGGCCAACTCGAAAACGTGGTGTGACGGAGCGAAAGGAGCTTGGCCCCTTGAATGTAAGAAATCAAATGCACAAAAACATGAGGGCATGTACAACTCGCTTCCAAACAGCCTTGCAAAAGTTGAATCTCACAGGACGGTTCTCGGTTTTTCTGTGCTCTCGGAACCCTTCAAGATGCTTTGGGCAAATCTGCCCACTAAAACTAAAACTTCACTGCTTCACTCAAAAAAACCATTACAGAATTTTAACTATTAAATTACCAACATGCCGTCCAGCAAGAGCAACATTTGTAGAACGAACATCAAAACATACTTGCTGGAAGAGGGCTCGCCTCGAATTCATCTGAATCGTCAGACAGCGCGTCCTGACGCAGAAAACCACATGTAATACAAACCAAAACAGGTCGAAAGTGCTATTGATATCACGCGGCGTGCGCTGGCAAGCTGCAGCGCTTGTTTTCCTTGAGCCAAAAGTCAGCCATTTGCATGGCCAGGTCTTGTCAGACACACAAAGTCCCTCTAAGACTTTTCAAAAGTCAACGCGTGCTGCAGTGGGATTCGTAGATATATTAGGTATTGGGCCTTGATTAACCAGCCTCTGTTCACAAGAGTCGGTAATTCTCACTGCTTGAAGCTTTAACCAAAATCATACGTGATTGTACCATTTAACCTTGATGGCAGAGCCATGAAGAGCCTATTTCCCAGAACAGCCAAGTTGAAAAGAAGTTGCCAGAACAAAGAGCTGTCCTTGTCTGAGCACCGTGTGGAAGCCTCACTTCCCAATGAATCTCGCGGCGGCCTCCAGCGCAACCATCCGCTGTCAAGTCACGTCAAATCTCAATGGCACAGGATCCACTCAACCGAACCTTGGACCACCTTGTTTTTGAGGGCTTCCAGGCGGCGTTGCAGGGGCCTTGGAACTTAATCACGATGGTCCAAAAATGCCCAAGACTAATCCAGAAGAATCCAAACGACTTCCGAGTTTCTCAGTCGGTTCCCATTCCACTTTCCGAGTTTCTGACTGGCTTTTGGAGGTCCATTTGACGGACCTACTCAAGGTCAAGCTACTCATGAAGGCCACGGCGATGATTTAAGCGGAAACTCTTCTGTCCCCTCCTGAAGGTCTTCCGCATCAAACACAGCCTCAATTCAGCACAGTATGAACATGCATGAATATGCATGAATCGTGTTTTCAGTACCCGGCAGATACATGGACAGAGGTTCGCTGGACACTCATATCTGGAGCTTGTGGCCAAAGACTTTGCCTGCATGACTTCAAAAGGCAGGATGCATCATATGAACCCCTTGTTATCCAAACGAAAAAGATCCAAATAAGATGGCTTTGTTTTTGGATCATTTCGGCGCACGTCGGAATACCAAGACCCCATGTTGGCGAAAAGGAACATGGGGAACACAACTTGTGTCCTTGCACTCAAAGGTCCAACCCGCATTTCAGCTCTTCGTTTGACAACCGAAGAGTTTCCGCAAGTAACACAACTTGTGTCCGCAAACCGAAAGCGTTTTCCACACCTACATGTTGTCTCTTCTGACTGCAAGTACAGGGAACGACTGGACCCTGAACGAGGCCTGCCTCAACCAACGAAAGGCGACGCTTGCACCGGAGCACACCTTTGCAAATCAAGGCTTCCTCAACTTGGAAACCACTGGAACAAAGAAAAAAAAACACAACTGGGCGCCCGGCGCCAAAATGTTCCCAATACATACTGACCTGATCCATTCGTCTTCATATCAAATCTGCCCGGATCAAGCTGAGGTAGAACTTCTTGAGCCCCAGGCATCTGGGCCCATTCCGCAAACAGCTGGGCTTAAGGGCAAGAAACGCCAGTTGTACCGCGCAGTTGAGGTGTGAAAACTTGAGGTTAGCTCCACGGAGAAGGTGATGTTGCTATGGTGACTGACACCTTGAAAACAAGGATATAGCTATGGGAATGGATTTTCGCCTTGCTGAATTGCCTCGATTTTGAGCGTACTAGAATAGAAGAATTCAAATGCTGCAGGATGCTGTAGGGGCATTCCATAGCGGAAACCAAGTTGAGGCTTTGACTTGTTATGATTCTGAGCCACTGTGCGAGGGCAAGAACATGAAAACACTTCACAAATCACGATAATGTTAAGCATTCCAGGCATGTGGTGTTTTCGATTCATGGGGTATCCTCAAAACCACCTCAGTTATGAAAATGACTCATATGAGTCAGTATACGAATCTTCTTCCATGTGCAGTGATTACCCTCATTGAGACGAATCTACAAGCTTGTTGAAAGTTCACATCGTCTTAACACATTTTACCGTCTCGCGCTGTCAAATAAAATTTGCCAATGCTTAACGTCTTCACGAACGTCTTCGCCAATTTAAAAAGATCAATTTCTAATTGGAAAAAATTGGCTATGGGTCAAAACCTATCGTACCAAAATTCAAGGGATGAACATCCAAACAAAGACTATTCTGCTCATCTTTGGGACATTCACCAACCAGGCACCAAGGGTACCAGGTTTTTAGCAGCAAAACCTTGCCATGGCAGCATTTCTTTCTCTCAGCTCCTCTGCCACCTTTGTGTCAGCATTCTCTTGGTCTGCCTCTGAAGGTACAGCCTGAACTGAGATATACTGAAACTTAGACTGACGGTCCACTCATTCCAAACTTCTCATCTGAGCTGAAGGCTTTCTCCATGTCGAAATTTAAGTTCATCAACTCCTCACAGGGTGCCCTGGTGATAAGAAAACTGCCAGGATAAAACTCACGCTGCTCTACTATCAACTGACGGGCCATTTCCCGAACTGCAAAAATCTGGCAGGCGCTATTTCAGTCTCCCACACATGCTACTCTCAATATCACTTAATCATTTTGCCCAGCAGATTAGCTGCATTTAGCTGCTACGAGTATATTCATGTAATGCGTCCAGTTCTCCTGCCGTGGCTAAACCCAACACCTTTTTGGCGTCTAAATGACTTCCATTCACTGACTCTCCCTGCGCAAAGCACAAAGCACTCCTGGTAGAGCTCGTCAAGTAGGCCTGCCAGTGCTGATATGCGACGCTCGTGAAGCGTAAGTGATGCCTCATATCACAAAATGCGGTCTTGGGATGGTCTCTCCCAAGGACGAGCTCTGTGTCACGGACACATTCCGTCATTGCCTCGTGGAGAAATCATGCAGCGAGCAGTGCTCATGGGGACGACGCGTGGTTTCAAGAGACGCAGTGAGCGGTTTTGTCGTCACAACTCACAGTGTTTCATCATGTTTCATCTGTGTATGTCCATTTCAGGACCAGAACAAACAGTGGAAATTCTGCAGAGGTTTTGCCGCCGCCAGGTGGCCCACATACTCCAACTTTGTAAGGTCCTTTGACAGCTGCTAAGAATGACATTCATCATCTTTCCTGCGGAATCCAGCAGAGTTGGGTAGTCACAAAGTGAATGCGTAAACAAGATACAGCCCACGAACCCGAATGCTCACACGTATGTTCACGGTACAGATGTCGAAAGACATGGATACGCAGTCACGCAGAACACTTTTCTGCAATAGTTTATTTGAACAGTCTTGTACATATTTCCCCTGTTACTGGTCTGCAGTGTGGAGTGGAAAGTAAAGAGTGTGGAGTGTGGAGTGTGGAGTGTAGAGTGTAAAGTGTAGAGTGTGGAGTCTGCAGTAAGGAGTGTGGAGTGTAAAGTGAGGAATGGGGAGTGTAGAGCGTGTAAAGTGTAGAGTGTGGAGTGTGAAGTGTGGAGTGGGGAGTGTAGAGTGTGTAAAGTGTAGAGTGTGGAGTGTGGAGTGTGGAGTGGAAAGTGTGGAGTGTAAAGTTGGAGTGTGGAGTGTGGAGTGGGGAGTGTAAAGTGTAAAGTGTAGAGTGCAGAGTGTGGAGTGTGGAGTGTAAAGTGTGGAGTGTGGAGTGTAGAGTGTGGAGTGGAAAGTGTAGAGTGTAGAGTGTGGAGTGTAAAGTGTGGAGTGTGGAGTGAGGATTGTGGAGTTTGTAAAGTGTAGAGCGTGGAGTCTAGAGTGTAAAGTGATGTAAAGTGTAGAGTGTAAAGTGTAAAGTGTAGAGTGCGGAGTTGAAAGTGTAGAGTGTAAAGTGTAGAGTGTGGAGTGTAAAGTGTGAAGTGTGGAGTGTAAAGTGTCGAGTGAGGAATGTAAAGCGCAAAGTGCAAGGTGTGGAGTGTAAAGTGTAGAGTGTGGAGTGAGGAGTCTAAAGTGCAAATTGTGGAGTGTGGAGTGTAAAGTCTAGAGTGTGGAGTGGAAAGTGTAGAGTGTGGAGTGTGGAGTGTAGAGTGTGGAGTGCAGAGTGTGGAGTGGAAAGTGTAGAGTGTGGAGTGTAAAGTGTGGAGTAGGAGTGTGGAGTGTGGAGTTTGTAAAGTGTAGAGCGTGGAGTGTAGAGTGTAAAGAGTAGAGTGTAAAGTGTAGAGTGTAAAATGTAGAGTGCGGAGTGTAAAGTGTAGAGTGTAAAGTGTAGAGTGCTGAGTGTAAAGTGTGAAGTGTGGAGTGTAAAGTGTAGAGTGAAGAGTGTAAAGCGCAGAGTGCAAGGTGTGGAGTCTAAAGTGCAAATGTGGAGTGTAAAGTGTAGAGTGTGGAGTGCGGAGCTTCCCCCATAGACACGGCGACGCCACAGGAAAACCAGAGACTCGAGACGAGACACGTGGGCGCAGAAAAACGAGAAATTCGTGCGAGATTTCCTCCAAATTTGAAATTTTCGACACATTCTCGAACAGGTTGGAATGTCACAAAGTGCCATGCCTGCCACGGAAAACGACGTGACAACCTGCTTGGAAACCTCCAAAAAAGGAAAGGTGTTGCAGCTTCCCCCATAGACACGGAGAAGCCATCAGAAAACCAGAGACTCGAGACGAGACAGGTGGGAGCACCAAAGCGACCATTTGGTGCGAGACTGCCGCCAATTTCCACAGTTGGAAATATGCCGGAAGGACATGTTTTGCAGCTTCCCCCATAGACATTACCAGAGACTCGCGACAAGACACGTGGGCGCACCAAAACGAGCATTTCGTGCGAGACATCCTCCAATTTTCACACTTCGTAGCTTCCAAATCGACGTTTTCCCACGAGTTTTCCTAGGAACCTCGAAATTTTGCAACCTCAAAATCGATGCGTCGTGCGAAGCTTCCTTCAATTTTCAGCACATGTCAGAAAATGTCACGCCTGCCACGGAATTTGCACCTTGTTGCCACTTGACGCAGCCCTGCCAATGCGATTTGCGAAAAACACTCAATACGACACGTCTTATAAGTGTGCGCCTGCCACGAAAAA